CGAAACGAAATGCAAAAGCGCCTGTTTGGCAATATTTTGGATTTTGAAAAGCCTGTTGACTTTTGCCGTTTATCTAAGGTGATTTTGAAAGTTTTTTTAAACATTTGTTTCTTATTTAATTGGTTCCACATTGTTTGCTGATTTTTACTTTATTTAAACTGTGTCATTTATTTATTTTATTTGACATGCCGTGCCTCCAAGCTTTCTTACTAGTTTTGCTAATAAACTTCCTACATTTCTTATTTATTTGGTTATATATTATACATGTTTACTTAGCCTATTTCCAGTTTTGTATACCTATTTAAACTTTATGTAAGTTATTTGTTATTTTATATTAGGCATAGCCTGCCCTATAGCATGGTGTATTTTTATTTGTTTTGTTAATAAAAGTTATATTCAGTACACCTAGACAGTTGGGTAAAATGCACAGATTCTCAGTGGTTACTCAGCACGATTCAAAAGGGGTACAGACTGCAATTTATGAGAAGACCTCCGGGGTGCAGGCAGAGAATGCAAACATTTTGAACGAGGAGATAAATTATCTCCTTCTCAAGGAAGTAATTCAGGGAGTACCAGCAGAAGAATCAAAGAAGGGATTCTTCATCCAGTATTTTCTGATCCCAAAGACAGGGGGAGGCATACGGCCTATTTTGGACCTCAGAACTTTAAACAAACACCTGAGAAAATACAAATTCAGAATGCTGACACACAAATCCCTGCTCCATTCTATACAAAGAGGAGACTGGTTCACTTCAATAGATCTGAAAGAAGCTTATTTCCATATTCAAATCCATTCTCAGCACAAACAATTCCTAAGGTTTGCTTTCCAGGGCAAGATATACGAGTTCAAGGTTCTACCGTTTGGCCTGTCTCTAGCACCCCGCATTTTTACAAAATGTGTGGAAGCGGCACTAACACCACAGGGTATAAGGATATTAGCGTATCTAGACGACAAAGGAGATGGCAGATGTGCATACGAAGACAGTGTTAATGCACTTGAATGCTCTGGGTTTTGTAGTAAACCAGAAGAAGAGCTCATTAACTCCGACTATTTCTGGGTTTAAACCTAAACTCAGTATCTTACCGGGCAACTGCTGTATTCGTATCTATGGCATCTTGCTCAGTGCAGAGATCTCCTCTCTCTGGCAGGGGGGAGGATTTTTCATCCACATCCGGAGAGGTGGAATCTTTGGGTCTGGCCCGTGAAAGGTCTAACCTGAACGCCCTGGGCCTACCTCAGAATGTGATCTCCACCATACAGAGTGCTAGAGCAGACTCCACCAGATCTCTGTATGAGGCAAAATGGAAAAGGTTTGAGAAATGGTGTCAAGAAAAACAGAAGATACCATTTCTTTCAGCAGTGTCAGACATCCTTACATTCCTTCAGGAGATGCTAGAAGAAGGCAAAGCCTTATTTACAATCAAAGTGTACCTGGTGGCATTTCATCTTGCCACATGGGATTTAGCGGTGAAACAGTAGGAAAGCATCCTATCGTAAGTAGATTTATGAAGGGATGTGAGACCTGAGACCAATCACCAAACCTATGTTACCAGAATGGGATCTGTCCCTGGTCCTGGAAGCACTCAGGGAAGCCCCTTTTGAACCCTTGGAGCAGGCAGATTTGAAGATTGTCTCGTACCAGACAGCTTTACTGCTCACCATAACCTCTATGAAGCGGGTCGGAGTGTTACATGCATTATCAACCCTGCATGTATCAGGTTTACACAACATTTTTCCAAAGTTACCTAGCGCCCAAACCCAGCTTTTGTGCCCAAGGTAATCAAGCCTGGCTACTCATGTATGGAGATAGAAATTCATGCTTTCCACCCTCCTCTCTCAAGAGTCCCCAAGGAAAGGGGATCTGCAGCACTTATGTCCGATTAGGGCATTAAGGATTTACTTGGAGAAGACACAGGTTTTTAGACGATCTGAAAACCTCTTTGTGTGTTTTGCGAACCCTAAGAAGGGCCAGGCACATCTCACTGGATAGTAGATATCTCTGTATTAGGCAAAATGGAAAAGGTTTGAGACACGGTGTCAGGAAAGACAGAAGATACCATTTCTTTAATCAGTGTCGGACATCCTTACCTTCCTTCAGGAGATGCTAGAAGAAGGCAAAGCCTTATTTACAATCAAAGTGTACCTGGTGGCATTTCATCTTGCCACATGGGATTTAGCGGTGAAACAGTAGGAAAGCATCCTATCGTAAGTAGATTTATGAAGGGATGTGAGACCTGAGACCAATCACCAAACCTATGTTACCAGCATGGGATCTGTCCCTGGTCCTGGAAGCACTCAGGGAAGCCCCTTTTGAACCCTTGGAGCAGGCATATTTGAAGATTGTCTCGTACCAGACAGCTTTACTGCTCACCATAACCTCTATGAAGCGGGTCGGAGTGTTACATGCATTATCAACCCTGCATGTATCAGGTTTACACAACATTTTTCCAAAGTTACCTAGCGCCCAAACCCAGCTTTTGTGCCCAAGGTAATCAAGCCTGGCTATTCATGCATGGAGATAGAAATTCAGGCTTTCCACCCTCCTCTCTCAGAGTCCCCAAGGATAGGGTGGCGTTTCCCATAGTCAGATGTCTCACTCATCTCCCTCAGAAAACCAAGGTTATAACTAGGGTTGGGGCCGATAGACAATGCCATTGTCCATCACCGATGGCTGATAGACATCACGATGTTGAGCCGGCATCGTGATCCCACCCCCATGCCCCCTGATTACAAACTGAACGCGGCTTCAAACGAACTAAAAACGAACAATTGCTTTACGCCGAATTGCCGCTATTTCAAAGTGAAAGTAAAATGCACACGCCGCTTTTACAAGCTATTTAAAAGCGAAGGAAAGCTAGGAAAAGAGGGACCGCCCCGCCCCGCGGTGATACCGGTATTACCGGTGTTGTCACACGTCGATTAACCGGTGGGAAAATTTCCTTACCGTCACAACCCTACTGGACGCGACAAAGCGACCATTGAAAATCATTTGAAATTTGTGTCAGCACTCTTAAATAGAATGCGGCAGCAGTTTACTGTCAGGATTTGTCGTTTCGCGCCGCATCCAGTGTAGACAGCATCACTGATTATAATAAGTTCTATACACTGATCTATATATAATAATGAATCTCTATTATAGATCAGTGGTTCTGAAGTATTTTGTCACGCTGCGCCACGCCACTCTGCTCGCATCCGGTGTAGACACGGTGTTAGGAATTGTTATTTGTTTCCCGTGCCATATAAGTATTCATGCTTCGGGCACAAACCTGCGCTGCGTAAACATAAAACCATGTCTGCATTTGTGATCGGAGAAATGACAAACAATAAGTGCTCCTCTACACTGCCCAAAAAACTCGCGTTTGAATCGTCAGTGGCAAATTCTTTAAATATAAAAAACGTACATACAGTCTGTGAGTCAGAACAGCCGGCATTGTAGTCTATTCTACCAGGATCAGGAAACAGTCCTCCATAAAATGCGCTGGACACATCTGAATATTTGGGTTAAACTGTTCTGGAACAGTGTTGTAAATACAACTTAACCACTGATTTCTAGTCGTGTCCTCTTTTGGAAGGCCAAACAAAGTAGTTTCGCTTTCACAACGAAACAGCGTCACACACCGCAGCCTTGAGTGAG